GGTGATAAGCGATCCTGGCTTGAATTTTGACCTTCCATGCTGAGTATTGTAAAGTATTATAAATACGTCGTTCTTCCACCTCGGAAATGTTGCCATACTGCGTTCGATTTTGCTGCTAACTGGTGCTGAAAAGCCGGTCGATACTTCACTCTTTCCTCGTGTTGACTACTGTAACGCCCTGCTCGCTGGGGTCTCTGAACCCTCACTGAACAAACTCCAGTCTGCCCAGAATCCAGCAGCCTGGAGCTCGGACAGGTCCAGTACAAGCGATCCCATCACTCCTATCCTGGAGTCTCTGCACTGGTTCCCCTCAGGTTTTCAACCTCCTGCTGCTCTCCTGTCAGACTCTGCACGGCTCCCCACCTCACAGCCCTCGCTGGTCTCTCTGGTCTCCTGTCTGTCCCCTCTCCTGCTGCGCCCCAAAGCTCAGGAACCCAAGGAGAGCAGAGTCACCTTCATATCCCTGACTCCTGCTGCACCCCTGAATGACCAGGGGGGACTCTGGGGGTACTCTCACTCCCAGGGGTGTCAGCTGAGCGGAGGTGGGGCTCCCGCCTGTCCGGCTGGGTTTGTTGGGACAAACAGGGTCAGGTACCCCAGGGGTACAGCTGTGTCCCCCTCCTGTGGTCCTGGGAGTTGAACACCAGACACACAGGAGTGTCTTTCTCACGCTGGCGTTGTGTCACCAGTGTGTCAGCACCAGCTCTGAGGACTGTGAGTGTGTGTGAGTGGTGTAGAGTGTGTGTGATGCTGTGTGTATGTGTTAGTCAGTCTGTGTGTCTATTAGTGTGTGTATTAGTCAGTCTGTGTGTGTAATGCAGTGTGTGTATTAGTGTGTGTGTGGTGCTGTGTGTGTATTGGTCAGTGTGTGTATTAGTGTGTGTCTGTGTGATGCTGTGTGTGTGTGTATTAGTGTGTGTGAGTGTGTGTATTAGTGTGTGTGTGGTGCTGTGTGTGAGTGTGTGTATTTGTGTGTGTGTTAGTGTGTGTGTGTGGTGCTGTGTGTGTATTTGTGTGTGTGTGGTGCTGTGTGTGAGTGTGTGTATTATTGTGTGTGTGTGGTGCTGTGTGTGAGTGTGTGTATTTGTGTGTGTGTGGTGCTGTTTGTGTATTTGTGTGTGTGTGGTGCTGTGTGTGAGTGTGTGTATTAGTGTGTGAGTGTGTTTATTAGTGTGTGTGGTGCTGTGTGTGAGTGTGTATTAGTGTGTGTGGTGCTGTGTGTGAGTGTGTGTATTAGTGTGTGAGTGTGTGTGGTGCTGTGTGTATTAGTGTGTGTGTGGTGTTGTGTGTGAGTGTGTGTATTAGTGTGTGTGTTTATTAGTGTGTGTGTGGTGTTGTGTGTGAGTGTGTGTGTTAGT